TGGAGTTCCAACCCCCCTGCCATGGGCAGGGACACTTCCCACCAGACCAGGTTGCTCAAAGCCCCATCCAGCCTGGCCTTGAACACCTCCAGGGATGGGGCAGCCACAGCTTCTCTGGGCAACCTGGGCCAGGCTCTCACCACCCTCACAGGAAAGAATTTCTTCCTAATATCTCATCTAAATCTCCCCTCTTCCAATTTAAAACCATTTCCCGTTGGCCTATGGCTCCACTCCCTGATAAAGAGTCCCTCCCCATCTCTCCTGTAGCCCCTTTAGGTATTGGAAGGCTGCAGTAAGGTCTCCCCTGAGCCACCTCTTCTCCAGGCTGAACAACCCCGTCCCCTGAGACAACAATGTCAACTCTCTCAGCCTGTCCTCATAGCAGAGGTGCTCCAGCCCTCTGAGCATCTTCACGGACCAACAGGTCCCTGTCCTTCTTACGTTGGGTGCTCCAGAGCTGTACCAGTACTCCAGGTGGGGTCTCACTGAGAGCAGAAAGGGGAAGAAACAGATTTAACTCAATCATGCCTGGCCAATTTTGCTTGTGTCAAACCTTAAATCTAGAGGATCGCATAATTTGGAAACTAAGAGGCCAAATCCCATCAATGAGGTGAATACACTTGAGACTTTTTACCCTGGGATTGCTCCAAAGTTGTACCAGTACTCCAGGTGGAGTCTCACTGAGAGCAGAGTAAAGGGGCAGAAACAGATTTAACTCAATCATGTCTGGCTGATTTTGCTTGTGTCAAACCTTAAGTCTAGAGGATCACATAATTTGGAAACTAAGAGACCAAATACCATCAATGAGATGAATACACTTGAGACTTTTTACCCTGGGATGCTGAGGAGAGATTGCCAAGCCTTGACCAGCCCTCAGAGTCACACCCTTTGTGGCTCTACCATGTAGGAATCCCTGCTGCTACCAATGGATACATGGGGCATGTCACAAGAAGGTGGTGAAGGACATAGAATTCCACAAGGTGGTGAAGGACATCATATTCCACAATACAGCCAAGGGAGAGGCTCCTGTAGGAGAGGAGACAGAGTCGATATCTGTCTGTATGGCTGGTATCACACAACGGGTGTGACTGGTGTAACCACAGGACCCTCTTTGAGAAGCAAGAACTGAGGTGGGCTCCATCTGGCAAAGCTATCAAAAGCATGGTTTGTGTAGCTACAGGAGAAGAATGGATTTGCCTGAAAGCTAATACAGAAAAATTAAATCTTAGCCACTCCAGTTTCCCCATTCGGCAGCCAGCTCAGTGCCAGAAGGAGGGAAGGTCCAAGAGCGGGTTAGTTGGGGCTGAGCTGCCCCATCTCTTTTAGCAGCAACCTTTACTGCTACTGGGTGAGATCTTATCTTCTTGTGGCCTGGCTTCCTGCAGTGTTGTTTCCTGTGGTTGAGGTCACGCCAACCCAGGCGAGCAGGGTGAACACCAGCCAAAGTTCCTACCTGCAGAGGGAGCGCTTGGAAAAACTTATTTTAGTGTGAATTCTTGATTAGGTTTGACAGCTGAGCCCAGATGCAGCTTCTCCTTCAGCCAAGGTCTTCTGCTGCGTCCAGATGCCAGTTTCCATGATCATTATTAGGACAGGGAACACAGAGGCAAAACGCTGCACGCGTGGGATACACGAAAGCAGAAGCCTAACTTTAACAGGAAAAAAAGGCAAAAACTTGTTTTTCTGAGAAAACTCTGGATAGGAATTTTTAATGAATGAAAAAACAACTTAAAAAAGTAATTAACAAAACTTCACTCCTTGTACGTAAAATAATGGGGAAGTGGCTTTTTTCTGTGTGGAGAGCAAGGTCCTCTAAAGGAAAGGAGTTTTGGCCACTAAAGGAAAGGAGTTTTTTCCACCCTGATTTGTTCACTTCATGTCTTCTGGTGGTGACAAATCACCTGTATTTCCAACATAGCCAGTGCTTTAGATTTGCTGAAATACTGGCTGAGGAAGGCCGAGTTACGCAATACGATTGGCTTAAAAAAGAAAAAAAAGTTTCAATGAATAAAGTTCAGCAGTTTGCAAAAAGCGGTAAATACACAAGATGGATTTCTCAAGAATAAATAGTGGTGAAACAAAGCCTGTTTCCAGCTCTGACAAAGCTACATGGTATGAAAGAAAAAAGTGGGTGTGACATATCTCGACTTCAGGAAGGCTTTAGACACCCTTTGCATCACATTCTTAAAAACATGAAAAATGCTAGAGAAGGAATCAGTATGGCTGGAAAAACCCTGTTGTAAAGGGGTTTTAAACTAGGAGAAAATTTCATATACGGCTTTCCAATGCTCTGTCCTGTCCAGGCAAGACCTATTTTCATGAACAACCTGGGTAACAAGATGGCTGGGACAGAATGAAAAGAAAAACTCTTAATACGTCTGACAAACTGACTGGCCCTGATCAAAGCTACCGAAATTTAGCAATGGGAAAAACAGTGATTAACAGAGAGATACCAGATGTATGGAGACATTTGGGAGTAACTGTCTAGAAGAGGGATCTAGGATGAAAAGGAAAAAACAGATGCTGTTGAAAAAATTTTTAAAAAATAATTAAAAATCACGGAGATGAGCAAGACTGGAGATGCTCATACAACTTTATTTTGAGGTGACAAGGCTGGCTATGGACACATGAGAACTGCTGGATTGGTCTTCACACTTTACAAATAAGGTTGAGAAACTGGGAGAAGTAGAGAGGAGAGAAAAACGAGGAGACAAAAGAACACGGAAAACATGGGGTTTTTTCACATGGAAAAATGTAGACATAATTTTATAACATACACAGGAGCTCCTTGCTCTTAATATCAATCATTTATTTTGTCTGTCCAGAGGAAAGAAGAGAAAATACATATAAAAAGATTACTTTTGACTTACAGGGAAATCTTTCTGATAGAAAAGTAATGAAATACGGAAACGGAATTTGGTACACTGCCCAATCAGCTTTATTGAAGGTTTTTGTGAGTTAGATGCACACCTGTTAGAAGCAGTGTAAGTCGATGATGACCAAGCTGTTGACCTGCCACACCACAAATAAAAAAAATCTTTGTGCATTTAAAAGCTACCAGACTGGTACAGCCAGAAAGGCAGACCTGTGACTTCATCTGAAGAAAATGCCAACAGCTCTTCAACATTCCCACCAACTCACAGTCAACAAAGAGCTAAGCTGAAGGGCATCCCAAAGCATCATCAGCCTTAGCATCTGACTGGAGAGTCCTAGAACATACATTCCTATCTGACGTAACCTCAGCGTGGAACCAACCCATGAGCCAAGCTACCTTTGACTGATCCAGGGCCAAAGGTCTGGGTACACGGGACACTTCATGAAGCAGCCTGGGCTACGGAAGACCTTGAAGTTTCTTCCAACTCACCAGTCCCGTGTGAACCCTAAGCACAAAGTCCTCAACAGCAGCTGGGAATTTAGGCTACCGCCCCGGCTCATCGCTTCCCGTTGGGTGAGGAAAGGCAGAAATGGAAAGATCATAGAATCATAGAATGGTTCGGGTTGGAAGAGACCTCAAAGATCATCGAGTTCCAACCCCCCTGCCATGAGCAGGGACACCTCCCACCAGACCAGGTTGCTCAAAGCCCCATCCAGCCTGGCCTTGAACACCTCCAGGGATGGGGCATCCACAGCTTCTCTGGGCAACCTGTTCCAGTGTCAGATAAAAAACTATTTCCAAGACAGAACTCAAGTTTGGGAAGCGATGAAAATAAACTTGTACAGAATTACTCGTTCATTGTTTATGCTTAAAGGCTTCTTTAGCTCAGAGCTGGCTTCGCCGATCAAGAATTTTTTTTTCTGAGCTAAAGAAGCTGGCTTCGCCGATCAAGAATTTTTTTTTTCCTGGAAACACCATAAATCGCTCCAAAAAGCCACGTCGGGTTTTTGCCGCATCCTCGTACTTACAGAATCACAGAACCACCTAGGTTGGAAGGGGCCTTCAAGATCACCTACTCCAACCACCAACCTAACTCTGACAAAACTCATCACTAAACCATGTCCCTGTAGTACTTCAGCCCCCCCCTGACCCTGCTGCAGACCCGCTGGCACCTAACACAGGCCCAGACACCGCCATCCTCCCTCTCCCCACCCCTCCCCGCCCAAGCCGGCTTTCTCCCCACACACACACACCGAGGAGCCGCTTGGGGGGCAAGAGGGGTGATCGGCCCCCTACCATAAAAAAGACATTGAGGTGCTGGAGCGTGTCCAGAGAAGGGCGACAAAGATGGTGGGAGGTCTGGAGAATAAGTCTTATGAGGAGAGGCTGAGGAAACTGGGGTTATTCAGCCTGGAGAAAAGGAGGCTGAGGGGAGACCTTATTGCTCTCTACAACTCCCTGAAAGGAGGGTGTAGAGAGATGGGGGTCAGTCTCTTTTCTCAAGTCACAGGCGACAGGACAAGAGGAAATGGCCTCAAGTTGCGCCAGGGGAGGTTCAGGCTGGATATTAGGAAAAATTTTTTCACTGAAAGGGTTATCAGCCGTTGGAATGGGCTGCCCAGGGAGGTGGTTGAGGCACCATCCCTGGAGGTGTTCAAAAGACGGGTTGATGTAGTGCTGGGAGGTATGGTTTAGTGATGGTGATGCTTCTTGTTTGTTGTGCGGGTGTCTATTTTTGTCAAAGTTAGGTTGACGGTTGAACAAGATGATCTTTAAGGTCCCTTCCAACCTAGAGGATTCTGTGATGATTCTGTGATCACAGCGGGTTAGAGCAGCCGAGAGAGCCAAAAAACCCCCTCAGCCAAGCCCCAACGGGCTCCGAGGGCTGCCGCCTCCTCCTCCCCTCAGCGGGGCGGGGCGGGGCGGGGCGGGCGGATGGATGGATTCCCGCCCCCGCGGGCTCAGCCGCTACCTCAGCACTTCCGGGTCGGAGGTGGTGGGGGGGGCGGAGCGGAAGGAGGAGGTGGGTGCGTGACGTTGCCGGAGGGGTCCGGGGCCGCTGAGGCGCCTGTTATTGTTCTTCGCCGCCCGGCTCTTCCCGCCGATACCGACACCGCCGTCGTCGTTTGTCGTCTTGCCCTTCCCCGGCGCCTCGGGAAGTTGGGGGGGGGGGGGGGGG